TTGGTTTTTCCCTAGCACAGGAGGGCTGGGGGAGGGGGGTTGTCAAGGAAACAGGCATTTGTAATTACCTCTTTCTATTTACTTAATTTTCCGCCTGCGAATGTCTCCGTCATATCTAGGAATGATAAAAGGAAAGGTCTGATGTTTATGCAAGTCTTCGGTTTTCGGTCTTTTTTAGAAAACCTGAGGTTTCTCAAGACGTGATGTTAGCGCCGAGATCAGGCTGAGGTGGGGGAGCGCGCTACTCTCGGGGAGGGGAGAGACCCTGGAACTCAGCGGCAGAGGGTGTTTGAGAGTCAGCAGCCAGGGAAGTGTGGGATCCTCTGCTCAGTTTCGCCTCAACGTGTGGATATTTAAAGGAGGGGTCTTCTGTTTAAAGCTGGAGTCTGAGGACATCTAGCACCAGACCTAAGTCCAACAAGTAACAAAGGGCACCTGTCTTTCCTGCCTGGCACGGGTCACCCGCCCTGTCGAGGCTCATCAGCGTGAGGGTGCACAGACGTCTTTCAAAACGGGGAAAGGGTTAAGCCATCATCGGTGCTTGTTAGTCAGGCGTCCTCACTTGGAAAGTATCTGAGATAGGAGAGAGAGTGAGTGAGTGTGTGTTTCTCCGTGTGTATGTAGGTGTGTGTAGGTGTGTGTTTGTGTGTGTGTAGGTGTGTGTAAGTATGTGTGTGCTTTTCTCTGTGTAGGTGTGTGTGTTTCCCGGTGTGTCTGTAGGTGTGTGTAGGTGTGCGTTTCTCTGTGTGTGTAGGTGTGTGTAGGTGTGTGTTTCTCTGTGTGTGTGTAGGTGTGCGTAGGTGTGTGTGTTTCTCGGTGTGTATGTAGGTGTGTGTAGGTGTGTGTTTGTGTGTGTGGGGGTGTGTGTAGGTATGTGTGTGCTTTTCTCTGTGTAGGTGTGTGTGTTTCTCGGTGTGTCTGTAGGTGTGTGTAGGTGTGCGTTTCTCTGTGTGTGTAGATGTGTGTAGGTGTGTGTTTCTTGGTGTGTATGTAGGTGTGTGTAGGTGTGTGTTTCTCTGTGTGTGTGTAGGTGTGTGTAGGTGTGCGTGTCTGTGTGTGTCTGTAGGTGTGTGTAGGTGTGTGTAGGTGTGTGTTTCTCCGTGTGTGTGTAGGTGTGTGTAGGTGTGTGTTTCTCCGTGTGTGTGTAGGTGTGTGTAGGTGTGTGTTTCTCCGTGTGTGTGTAGGTGTGTGTAGGTGTGTGTTTCTCCGTGTGTGTGTAGGTGTGTGTAGGTGTGTGTTTCTCCGTGTGTGTGTAGGTGTGTGTAGGTGTGTGTTTCTCCGTGTGTGTGTAGGTGTGTGTAGGTGTGTGTTTCTCCGTGTGTGTGTAGGTGTGTGTAGGTGTGTGTTTCTCCGTGTGTGTGTAGGTGTGTGTAGGTGTGTGTTTCTCCGTGTGTGTGTAGGTGTGTGTAGGTGTGTGTTTCTCGGTGTGTCTGTAGGTTTGTGTTTCTCCGTGTGTGTGTAGGTGTGTGTAGGTGTGTGTTTCTCTGTGTGTGTGTAGGTGTGCGTAGGTGTGTGTAGGTGTGCGTTTCTGTGTGTGTGTAGGTGTGCGTAGGTGTGTGTAGGTGTGCGTTTCTGTGTGTGTGTAGGTGTGCGTAGGTGTGTGTAGGTGTGCGTTTCTGTGTGTGTGTAGGTGTGCGTAGGTGTGTGTAGGTGTGCGTTTCTGTGTGTGTGTAGGTGTGCGTAGGTGTGTGTAGGTGTGCGTTTCTGTGTGTGTGTAGGTGTGCGTAGGTGTGTGTAGGTGTGCGTTTCTGTGTGTGTGTAGGTGTGCGTAGGTGTGTGTAGGTGTGCGTTTCTGTGTGTGTGTAGGTGTGCGTAGGTGTGTGTAGGTGTGCGTTTCTGTGTGTGTGTAGGTGTGCGTAGGTGTGTGTAGGTGTGCGTTTCTGTGTGTGTGTAGGTGTGCGTAGGTGTGTGTAGGTGTGCGTTTCTGTGTGTGTGTAGGTGTGCGTAGGTGTGTGTAGGTGTGCGTTTCTGTGTGTGTGTAGGTGTGCGTAGGTGTGTGTAGGTGTGCGTTTCTGTGTGTGTGTAGGTGTGCGTAGGTGTGTGTAGGTGTGCGTTTCTGTGTGTGTGTAGGTGTGCGTAGGTGTGTAATCAAATGACACGTGTGTTAGAAAGACACAGCCCAAATGGGCCTGTCGACAGGTGGGGGTCAGACTGATGCTTCTCCTCGGCGCACCAGCCTTCTTCCAATGGGCATCCCAAGCTGCCAGATTAGCCTGGGCACGGCAGGCGAGCAGTCATCTCATCCTCTGTTCTTAAACTTATCTGTAATTCTGGATCAAGTTTTGTGAAGGTCACGTTGCCTTCACATCGCCTTCTCGCTATTAAAGCCAAAAGTGTCACTTGCAAACCCCCCCAGTGACCCCACCTCGAGGTAGCAGGAAAAAGGGGTGGTTTTCATGAGGTTCTGTTTGCCAAGATCCTTATCTTCATGTACTATTATCTGTGACTTATAAAACGCGTTACAGAGTGCAGGAGGTCTTAAGTATTTCAGATGCAAAACCCATCTGAAAATTGGCGCCAAATAGCATGGCACAAAACTGACTAGACCTAAACAGAGTCAAAGACGAGAACTCGTTAAAGGGCATAAAGCATAGAAATGTGTCATGAGAAAGAATATGACTCTTGTTTTGAAAATCACATGTTAGTACATGAATAGTTGTACGGTAGGTTTTCAATGTTCGCAAAGAATCAGTCATGCTCGTTACTGTTTTTCTATCCTGAGAATGGTCCTCGGGATGTAGATTTGCCACATGACCCTCCAGAGTAGATGGACAGAGTTTAAGTTGAAGTCTGAGGTGTGGGCAGTCATGGTTTTCCAGACTCAGGAAATGCACACACACAAAAAAGCCTGTGGGCTGGAGTTCAAAGGAAAAGGGGCAAGAATCGTTTGGAAGCACGGCCAGAAATAAAAATACTATCTTATCATCGGACTCTGAGTAGAGGGTGAAAACATGATTAGCAGCCTCGACCTGGCGAAGGGCAGGCGGGTTCCAGATGCAAAGCAAGTTCCGGTCCCACGAAAGAGGCTAAACGGGGGTGCGCCGAGGAAATCACTGCTGAAGCCATCGTTAGTCCCCGTCGTGCTGGGGTCTCACTGCGTGCAAGGCTCTGAGCGGGGAGCTGTCAAGTTCCTGAAGCAGACAGAAGTTGTAGTCCGTGCTCTCAAGTTTAAGTCCACCACCCAGGGCTGACGACACGTGCGGGTGAGCACATATCTGGAGAGAGTTGGCGAGGCAAGTGGAAGATGAGAAAACAGGATGCAGTTCGTCAAGAAGAATATTCCGAGGATGCTGCTGCGGAGAGTTTGAAGGAAAGGAGACAGACGATTCGAGGGAGAGCGCATAGCTGTCCCAGAGGAGAGGGATGGGTGCTGAGAGGTGGGTCGTGATTCAAGGTTCTTGTCCCGAGCAGGGAGAAGTCCATCTGCGGTGTGAAAACAGGGCGTCTACACTCTATGCTGGTGGAAAGAACTAGTCGATATATAGGTCCAGGGACAATTTTGTTTAAGTCAGAGCAAGAGAGATTGGAAGAAGAAAGGCGATGTGAATAGGAAGCAAAATCCTTCCTAATCCAAGTTTTAATTCAGTCGAAGCTCGAGAAGTAAAGGCCAGACTGAAGTCAGACTTGAAACAAGTAAGAAATCTGGGAGCGGGGACCCCACGTGCACCTACAGCATCCTTCTAATAATACCTACCGTTGCCACCATGCTAAATTGGGGGATGCTCAGATGAGCGTTTGGAAAACTTGTTACATTTTGCGTGATCCGCTATATTCTGGAAAGGAGGTAACGGGTATGGGGAGATTCTGCATTCACAGTTCTAAGTGGTTTTTGACACCTCCATGTTTAGAGAAACATATGTGATCGAGCCTGGCGCCCTAATCATGTAACCTCACCCAGAGCCAGAGCAACTCTCATTCAGTAGTCTGCCCGAGACACAGCCGATCTGCAAAGCGCGTTTCGGAACTCTGAAATTTGGCTTCGTGTGTGGACCAGGGAGGATCCCTGATAAAGGCCATGGAAAGAGGGCACTGAAATCATGAACTCGTTCTTTCAACAGTATTTAATGAGCATTTATGATGTGCCAGGTTCTGTGAGCCACTGTGAGCAAAACCAGATACAGTATAAATAGCTACTGTTTTCAAATATCCTAGGGGTTTTAAAGGGAGATTCTGTGACTGGCTGATTTCCGTTTTCTTCTAATGACTAAATAAGAGGAAATGCCTTAAAATAAGAGCAGTTTTGGTGAACGTTATCACGGGACCGTCTATTTAACTTACCTTCCTCTACTTTTTAAGACGTACTCCTGCTCCGTGAGCATTTTCTCTGTATATTTGTTTTTGTCTCCATTTTGTTACTCTAGTCTGATTTGCTTGACTTCTCCATTCGACCTTAAGTC